GACCCCATGCCCATTCTGTGAGTGGTAGTGGACCCCATGCCCATTCTGTGAGTGGTAGTGGAGCCCATGCCCATTCTGTGAGTGGTAGTGGAGCCCATGCCCATTCTGTGAGTGGTTGTGGACCCCATGCCCATTCTGTGAGTGGTAGTGGAGCCCCGTGCCCATTCTGTGAGTGGTTGTGGATCCCATGCCCATTCTGTGAGTGGTAGTGGAGCCCATGCCCATTCTGTGAGTGGTTGTGGACCCCATGCCCATTCTGTGAGTGGTAGTGGAGCCCCATGCCCATTCTGTGAGTGGTAGTGGAGCCCATGCCCATTCTGTGGTAGTGGAAAAGTTACACTACATGTTTTGGGGCTTGGGAACTGAACTGAACCTGTTTCTGGTTATTCTGCCTTCTGCCTATGTGCTGACTTTGTTTTTGTAAATAAGTGCAATATATACAATTTCAATTGGGTCAGGTTAACCTATTGTGCATTTGTGCACAAAAACATGAAATAAAAATAAAATAATATACCTTATCAGTTAGGTACGGCATTTGATTTGCATAACTGTTTTTACTGATCTTGGTAAAATTTAAATTTTGAGAACAAATCCACAAGGGCCGTGACGAGGATTAAATTTTGAGACTTTTACATTTTGTAGTTAATCTTTAAGGTTATTTAAAATGTTATTCAGATTAGTTTTTTGGAAACTGGCATGCAAGATTCTGAAAGTGTTTAGGCAAAGTATTATTTGCAGAATGTATCCTAATGTAATTATGATCTGTTTAGCTGTTCAGTTTCATATTCGCTGAGAAATGTTGAAAAGCTTTGCATTGGTAAATATAAAAAAAATATAAAGCAATGGTAAACGACTCTGATTTTAATACTGTATAGTATTTTGCTTTAATGCTAAATTTTACTCAATTGTAATATTTTTAATTCATATACAGAACATGGTAGTAAAGTCATTTGATACGTAAATGCATATTTAATATCGTGGTGACTGCTATTCGGTCAGGTATGGCGGGGGCTGCTTGGTCAGGTATCGCCGAGACTGCTCGGTCAGGTATCGCCGAGACTGCTCGGTCAGGTATCGCCGAGACTGCTCGGTCAGGTATGGCAGGGGCGGCTCGGTCAGGTATCGCCGAGACTGCTCGGTCAGGTATGGCAGGGGCGGCTCGGTCAGGTATTGCCGAGACTGCTCGGTCAGGTATTGCGGGGGTGGCTCGGTCAGGTATCGCCGAGACGGCTCGGTCAGGTATCGCCGAGACTGCTCGGTCAGGTATCGTCGAGACTGCTCGGTCAGGTATCGCCGAGACTGCTCGGTCAGGTATCGCCGAGACTGCTCGGTCAGGTATCGCCGAGACGGCTCGGTCAGGTATCGCCGAGACGGCTCGGTCAGGTATTGCGGGGGCAGCTCGGTCAGGTATCGCCGAGACGGCTCAGTCAGGTATTGCGGGGGGCAGCTCGGTCAGGTATCGCCGAGACTGCTCGGTCAGGTATTGCGGGGGCAGCTCGGTCAGGTATCGCCGAGACTGCTCGGTCGGGTATTGCGGGGGCAGCTCGGTCAGGTATCGCCGAGACTGCTCGGTCAGGTATCGCCGAGACTGCTCGGTCAGGTATCGCCGAGACTGCTCGGTCAGGTATCGCCGAGACTGCTCGGTCAGGTATCGCCGAGACTGCTCGGTCAGGTATCGCCGAGACTGCTCGGTCAGGTATCGCCGAGACTGCTCGGTCAGGTATCGCCGAGACTGCTCGGTCAGGTATCGCCGAGACTGCTCGGTCAGGTATCGCCGAGACTGCTCGGTCAGGTATCGCCGAGACTGCTCGGTCAGGTATTGCGGGGGCAGCTCGGTCAGGTATCGCGGGGGCAGCTCGGTCAGGTATCGCGGGGGCAGCTCGGTCAGGTATCGCGGGGGCAGCTCGGTCAGGTATTGCGGGGGCAGCTCGGTCAGGTATCGCCGAGACGGCTCTGTCAGGTATCGCCGAGACGGCTCTGTCAGGTATCGCCGAGACGGCTCTGTCAGGTATCGCCGAGACGGCTCGGTCAGGTATCGCCGAGACGGCTCGGTCAGGTATCGCCGAGACGGCTCGGTCAGGTATCGCCGAGACGGCTCGGTCAGGTATCGCCGAGACGGCTCGGTCAGGTATCGCCGAGACGGCTCGGGCAGGTATCGCCGAGACGGCTCGGGCAGGTATCGCCGAGACGGCTCGGGCAGGTATCGCCGAGACGGCTCGGGCAGGTATCGCCGAGACGGCTCGGGCAGGTATCGCCGAGACGGCTCGGGCAGGTATCGCCGAGACGGCTCGGGCAGGTATCGCCGAGACTGCTCGGTCAGGTATCGCAGGGGCGGCTCGGTCAGGTATCGCCGAGACGGCTCGGTCAGGTATCGCGGGGGCAGCTCGGTCAGGTATCGCCGAGATGGCTTTGACAAAACAATTGCTTTGCTTACACTGGTACAACAATTAATTGGCTAGTATGGAATATATCCTAGTCTGGTGGCCAGTGCCTGAACTCCAATTATAGTTACGTAAATTCAATGTTAAGTTGTGCATTCAGCTACTGTGATAGGCATAAAAATTGTCTTCCAGTGTTCATCATACTACTGTACAGTAGTTTTATTTTCTAACTCTTTATATTGGGTTTGCCACATAATAAAAATATGAGTGTGATCAGGAGGCAGATCACCAGTTTTATTGAGACCAATGATCTCCTAACATGGATTAGAACATAACAGGCTAACATGGATTAGAGCAGGAAGATCATGCCTCTCACAGCTACTTGAACACTATGACAGTCACTGAGGCATTAGAAGAAAATCAATACAGATGGGGTGTACATGGACTTTGCAGAGGCATTCGATAAATGTAACCGTGGAGTGAAAGCACACAAAATGAGGTCAACGAGAATAACTGATTAAGTGAATAAACAGTAAAAGTAAGCCCACATAAACCACAAATTTAAATAAATAAAAAAGTCGACCACATAAAATCGCGTCCAAGCGTAGTTAAAAGCTCAGTAATTCAGGGTACAGTCCTTGCTCCACTGCTTTTCTTTATTCTCATATCAGATATAGTAAAAAATACAAGACACAGCTTTGTATCATTTGCAGATGAGACAAAAATCAGCATGAAAATTATCTATGCCGAAGACATTGAAAAACTACAAGCAGATATTAATAAAGTTTTTGACTGGGCAGCAGAAAATAACATTAACTGTGATAAATTTCAGGTACACAGGTACGGTAAAAATGAGGACTTTAAACATAATACAAGGTTCAAAACATGATCAAATCTGCCCCATAGTAGGAAAGCAGCATGTAAAGGCTTTGGGAATAATGATATCTGACGGCTTAATGTTTAGGGAGCATAACTAAGCAAATACTATATTGTGTCAAGTCAGAAAATGATAGGATGGATTATGAGAGCATTCAAATCCAGGGATCCCATCACAATGGTTGTACAGTACTTTTGTACTCGCTTGTACTGTGCTGTCCTATCTTGAATACTGCTCAGAACTCACTTCTTCATAGCAGGAGAGATGGCTGAAATAAGAGGGAGTACAGAGAACATACACGGCATACATAGACGCAATAAAGTACCTAAATTATTGAGCTCGTCTCAAATCTCTCCAAATGTACTCACTAAAGAGGAGATGAGAGATATAAAGTAATATACACGAGGAAAGTACTGGAGGGCCAGATCCCAGATCCTAAATCTACACAATAAAATAACAACATACTGTAGTGAACGATATGAAAGAAAATGCAGAATAGAACCAGTGAAGAGCAGGGATCAATCAAGGAACACCCTGATTTTTCATCAGGTTTCATCCCTGATATGAACGTAGGAAAATGAACATCAGAGGTCGACGGTTGTTAAATTAAACATCCTCCCAGCGAGTACAAGAAATATTGCCAGAACAACCATGGATATCTTCAAGATAAAATTAGTTTTCTTTAAGAAGTGCCAGACCAACTGGGCTGTGGTGGATATATGGGCCTGCAGGCTGCTCTGAGCAAAAGCCTGGTGGACCAAACTCTTAACAAGTCAGGACGGGCTTGGGGTTATCTTGAGGTTATCTTGAGATGATTTCGGGGCTTTTTTTTTTTTTAGTGTCCCCGCGGCCCGGTCCTCGACCAGGCCTCCACCCCCAGGAAGCAGCCCGTGACAGCTGACTAACACCCAGGTACCTATTTTACTGCTAGGTAACAGGGGCATAGGGTGAAAGAAACTCTGCCCATTGTTTCTCGCCGGCGCCTGGGATCGAACCCAGGACCACAGGATCACAAATCCCGCGTGCTGTCCGCTCGGCCGACCAGCTCCCAGTAGAACAACTCCCCGAACTCCATCAAGCAGATAGTAATCAATGTGTACAATGTCAAGGCATAAACATCAATACTATATACTGTGTTCATGTTGTCTTCGGTGGCAAAATATGCTTTGAATACAGAACATGAAATGGCGAGGATCTTTTTAGCAAATATATTTAATGATATATTTGCTAAAAAATACTCGATATACTGTATTGACAAGTTTATAGGGCCATATATATTCTGAATTCAAGATTGGATGCCTTTTATATGGAACTTTTTACTGCAATTATACTAAAAGGTATTAACCCCTGTGTTTTATAAATGAAGATCAATGAAAGCAGTCTATCATGTAAAAGACTAACTTAAAATACCATAATTTGCTTTTTCATGTATTCAATTGTACTTGTAGTAATAATGCATATTTAGAGACATGCTGACATTGAAGAGCAGTTTATATAAACTGAGCAGCGCAAACATATATATATTTATATATATAAACTGATCAGTGCAAACATATCAAAACTGTAAGGTATGATTAACATGCCTATTGGTTAAGGTTATATATACAATATTGCATTTGTTTTCCAGTACAATTTATCTGCTTACTTAGGATATTAACATATCCTAATTAAATATATCATTAACATGTACATTAACCCCACATGTTTAGCTATTAAACAGGAGTTTCTTTTTTCAGAGTCCAGATGGAGAGCGAAACAGCCTTACACCAAGGTCTCGTTCGCGTTCGAGGTCTCGACTGGATTCACCGGCCAACTCTCCACCTCATAGGCGCGCTACATCACAGTCTCGCTCTCCTCAGCCTCGTAGACGCTCCTTTAGCAGGTTATTTTGATACATCATGTCTTGGTCATTATACCATATTAAGAATTATTTATTAGTAGCTAAGATACACTAGTAGTTTACTATAGAATTGTGTTTATTAGGGTTACTGAAAGGTTTTCAAATATTAGGTAGAAAATTACTTTAAATAATGTGTTGTAATTCTAAAGTCCTTAGCCGAACTTTACTTGGCTTAGTTTTCAGCCTAGTTATTCTTGCTGGGACTTGCAGAAATATAAGTAACCATGGTACAGAATTTCCATGAAACCACGGTACAGAACCAGGGGACTGAATTTCAGAGATAAATATAGCTTTGGTGAGTAGATTAGAGGTGCGAATCAATAAAATGAATAAATTTTCACTTGAAAGGGGGAGGGGAGAAATAAACTCTGCACATTAAAGTAGAGCATATATGCTCATATAGTGTATATACAGTAGCATAAAGAGAGCATATATAAGATCTCTTCTATTGGTCTATGTTCCTTGGTTCTCTGCTGGCCACGAGAGCCTGCAGCAGCGGCTTTATGCCTAAACTGTTCGCGGTGTTCCTGGGGGATGAAATGACATTTGTTGGCAGCTGACAGCTTGTACCCTCTCCTAACTTTTCATAGCCCTTCTTTCTTTCCTCACCTGGCAATGTTTAGGCTGCAGAGGCATCTATTCAACTACTTATCCATGTTTTGGCTGCATGTTCTAGCTCTGAACTCGGTTTACAGATGGCCGAACAGTTAGGCATCTCTGACTCTATGACAAGGTACGGGTTCTGTGGTGGAGGTTTCACACGGTTGTGAGGCTCTGTTGCTGCAGGCTCCTCAGTCTGGTGAATGCTGAGGTGCCTCCCACCAGTTCTTTCATGGTGCAAGATAGTGACAGTGTGGGAAATGTGGCTCACTTATGTATGAGATGCCTTGGTATATTATGTGTAGTCTGCGTGTCTTCAGTGACTTTTGTTCTCCCAACCTCTCTTCAGGTTTCTGCCAGCTGTTTACTTAGCTTTACAAAGTTATTTGAAATTTGTTGGGCGATTGCAAGAGGCTCTTTTTTTTCTCGTCCTCTTTGATTTTAACGTATATTCCTTGTTCAGCATTCTGAAGGGCCAGTGTTCTATGTTTGCCGGGAATATTTATTGGCCTGTTCCTCATCCACCCAATGTTCAGGGATTCACGGGTTCAATTTTGTACACATTCGGGCTCTACTATTTGGTTTGTACCTGGCATCCAGGACCGGGTTGACTGGCATCGTCTGTTTTGAATACAGTACTTCAATGACTAGCTGGTTTGGGGTCCCAGTTGGTCAGCTCAACAGCTCAACCTGAAAGATCAGGTTCTTTCCCAGGATCACTTTGGGTTTCTCGGCAATTTGAAGTCTTAGTTGGTGTCCTCATCTTTGAATTTGGTTGGGCATGGTTCCAGGATGCCAGCACAAGCTCCATCTTCCTGACACCAGTCTGGAAGAGGGCTACTGCAGTCTGCTGCAATGGGTGTCATGTTAGTTAGGCATCTGGAGAAACTCAAATTCTCCAGATCAAACTAGTCTTGCAGACTGATATGGAGTGATCAAATTTATCATTCTATCATGCTTTCTTCTAGTCTAAACTGGTAGTCTAAACTTTGTCTGTGTGGTGTAACCTTTGTGCTGGGTCTGGGAAATCATGATGTCATTTTCTCAATCACTTCGCACCGATGAACATTGAACAGTTCATCGACCCTCGGGTTTCCTCTCCATTTGCCAATTTGCCAGTCAGGGACATAGACTATCTTGCCTACAGCATGCACACAATGTATCAGGGGGTTAGTAGTGGTCCCATTGACACTGCAAGGCATTGGCTTCACTTCACATGCACTGTCTACCTGTGGGGTTTGATCCATTCTGTTTCCATGTGGGATTGGATGCTGCAGATAGCCTGGCTTCAGCAAAAGATTCACATACTTCTGAATCCAGAAGTATTTGCTTCTTAGGATTTAGTCCTCTTTTGGGTGAGGTGGATGTGTCCTTCATTTGACCTTGCAAGACACTCAGCTGTAGGCCTGCAGGTGGCCTAGGTGGAATAAAGTGGCTGCCAGTCTGTAGATTGCAATTCACGAGGCATATGTGGAGCACCTGAAAAATGGGTGTGCTCTGGAAGTTGACGGAACTACCAGTACTTTTTAGAAGAATCGACTTCTTTTCGAGTGGGCCAAGCTGGAGATGTACATTGGGCCATGTCTTAATGACATATTTGTGGCCAGTTTACATGTGGTATCTGGCCCTTTGGCCTTGGTGGGTCATAGAATCCTGGTGTGTACCCCCAGGCTTGGATGCTTGCAGTTTGGTATTGGGGAGCTACCAAAGGGCCCAAAAGAAAGAGGCATTTCATTACTCTCGGTGCTGAAGATTTGCCATTTGTGCCATTAGCTATGTATGTGAACAATTAAGAAAATTTGTGTTAAATAAACTTGCAGCATAATTTCATATGAAAGCTGTAAGAGTGGTGTTCAGTGTACTTGATGTGCAGATTCCAATTGCCATTTAGGCTATTTTTCATATGTTCAATTTCAAAGCTCTAGTTGGTTTCAGTTCTTATTAAAAAAAAATTCTGAATGTTAATGATTTTAGTAGTTATCACTTCAAATAATTAAAAGATAACATTTATTAGGTTCTTTCAATTTTAATACACGTGAGTATTTTGTCACTTATATGAGCAGTATAAGAAATGTGTGCTAAATGTTTCACTGATTTATTTATAATTTTATTCAGAGTTTAGTGGCTCATTTGCATAATTGGCCCCAAAGTTACATGGATGTAATTTGTGGGCGAGAGACTAGTGGTACTTGATGTAGGCGCTGGGGCCACGATGGGTGTGCTTAGTGGTTGTGCTAGTAAGACATGTCTACAAATATAATGTGAACATGATCTTCATTGTTCACATACTAATGGATTTTGTATTCATATTGTCATTTGAAGAAAGAGGACAAGATTTAGAAACGCAAGAAACGTCCTTGCTTTGTAATTAAGATTTGAATAATCAAGATGTTGGACATGCTTGAGCCTGAAACATTCAGTGATCGGCAGTGGTCGTCGGAACAAGATCTCTCCGAGTTTGTGGTACTGGAAGAAATAGCTGATGAGAGGTTAGAAATATTGTGCTAGTATTCAGTATTCATGTGCTTGTGTATTTCATCAAGCTTATTTATCTGAATTTACTTGACAACTACTGTTTGGTGGCCTACTTGGAGGCAGGAACCCCAGTGGTTGTGATGTGGCCCCCATGTTTTGTGATATACTTTTGGTATGTGTTAAATTCTAGCTCCTGTAAATTCAGTATTACAAAAGATTGTTAAAATGTATTACAAAGGTCTTAAATGTCCCCTCTAATAGACTTTGGTGTTAGGCCTTTGAGAAGATGCAGGGCTCGTAGCCCTTTACCTTTCCCGGTACAGTATTAGTGATGGTTACGTGCTGGGATAATTTTTGGCGACCCCGGTGTTGGGCTTTTTTCAGCAGTGTAAAGTTATACTCCCTACTTTGGACACTTTCCAGTGATGTAATGCTTTTAAGTAGGTTTAGTCTCGGCTTGAATTGTGTTTAATATTGGTAAAAAATTAATTTGAAAAAAAAAAATCAATTTTGGCCAAGTCCAATCTTATTTGCAAGTCTTTGAATGGGCAAAATTTTATATATAACCTTATTATATATATTGTCCTTGAATTTAAAAGTTTAATGGGATCATGTAAATGGTTCGTTGAATAATTCCTAAAATTTTGTGAGACTTATTTTTTCTATATGGTAGGCATTAAAATTTGTGGAGAATTACAAGGGGGTTATCTGGCTGTGCCCAGGTGTCCCTCCCTTCCCTTTTGCATATCTTTCCCAATCTTCCCTCTCTTCCTTCTTTCTTCACCCCACTTCTCCAATTTTCCTCTCACTTTCACTTCGTTTCCACTAACTCTCCCCTCCCATACTCTCTCCACCTGTCTCCTTTTCCCCTCAATTATCTTTCCTTCCATTTGTTCAAATATCTCCCCCATTCTCCTTCTCTCTCTCTTATCTATCTTATCTAAAATTTCTGCCCCCCTCTCAATCCTTCTTCCCACTTTGGTGACCTCTTCCTCCAGTCCCTATCTTTCCACATGAGGAAATTTATATAAACAGATCCACAAGGGCCGTGATGAGGATTCGAATCTACGTCAGAGATCGTCCCAGACGCTGCCTTTATCGACTGAGCTGAGCGTCGGGGATGATCTCGGACGTAGGTTAGAATCCTCGTCACAGCCATTGGGGATTTGTTCATTTGATGCATCATGCTATTGTGATTTCTGTGTGTAAATTTATATAAACTGATAATGCGAAGTCTATGGGCAATGCAACCAATATTTCAGATGACTTGAAACCTGCACAGTGGAAGGGGGGGTTAGATTCTGATATTTCTTAATGTGGCACTGGAATCAACCCCCACCTGGCGTATGACACTCGTATCTCAGATGCATCAGATGAAAGAAAGGGTAAAGCAAGCATCTAGTGTCTGGTCTCGAACCTTGGATGAATACACTCGTAGATATAGATGGAATATTATGCTACGGTTCTATTGCATTTTCAACAGATTGTGACTGCATTATCAAAATTGAAACTGATACTGTACAAAAGTGTGTGTCACTCAATGCCACATTTGGTGATCCCTAAAATGTTTATAATCTTATTTATTTTTAATTTTTTGGCAAAATTATTCATTGTGCTACATCATGAATTTTGTCACAATTAAGTGTCAAAACTGCAAGACAGGCAGGTTGGATAACAACCTTTTAAATGATGATTCCATACCAATTATCCTTTTTAAGACATTAGTGCTCTCTAGGGTGGAATAATGTTGCTGATGTACCAGTCCTGTAGAAGAGGCGACCCATTATCCTACAGAGTAAGCTAATCAGCCACTCCGAGAACGGAGAAACGCCAACACGATTGCACATGCACAGCACATGATACCGGGAGAGAAATTGCAAAATAGTGAAGAGCAGAGGTGCAATAAGCATGCACAGAAACACTTCTCTCAAGGCACCAAGATTGACACCCTTCCTCTAAACATAAGGACCAACCTTATCAATTTAATTTATACATCAAACTTTAAGCACCTGCTTTCAACAGTCTGATTGACTAGACAACCAACTGGAAGGTCTATTAAAAAACTAGACGATGGGGACGTTGAACTCTGGAACCATCACCAAGGTAACACCACAGTTAACGGAGAATACAGGTCGAATCGTCTACAACGGTAAGGAAGGATTTTATCAGATGGAAACCAGAAATAAATGCACACAAGACGGTACCAGAGGATGGCTGCATCGATTGTAAATGGTTTTGTCAAGTAAAGCTGGTAAGATCCATGGTTTTAACTGTGATTATCAAGTGAAATAGTTCTATATATACAATTTATATACGAGAGAAGAGATCAGCAGTAAAATTGAGTTTTATGGAAATCCTAGTGACTTGTGAAGCAAGGGCTAATGTAGTGTATATATAATTAATGAGTAGATGATTACTTACTCGATTATGTATGTAACATTTGGAACTCAAAAACATTATGAAATTAATATTCTTTGCCCCAAAAAGTCAACATAAAAGTATCGTTTAGCAAGGTAGCTTGTGTACAGTGGATGGATATGAAACTTTTCTTAACTTAGCAATTTTCATGAAAATGTTTATCTGAAAGATACCATTCATGAACTCTAAATATTGTTTGTGGTAATTAACAGCCATAACTGTAGTCAACATTCAACAAGGTCTTCACGTTAGTGAGAAGTGTGTTCTTGTCCAAGACACTGCTTAAAACTATCAAATTTGTTTTTGGACTGATCCATCTTATTGTGAAGTTGATGGTAATCAACTTGTAGAGCAACACAAGGCTTTAGTTATCATTTTGGTTCAGTTGTTGTGGGATACCATGTATGTGGATGGAGATGCACCCAACTGCTCTATTGTGTGTTCATAGTTATTTAGTCTGTCTTCAGCAATAGTCCTCAATGAAATGTAAGCTTCGTGTTGCATTTCATTATATTTACCGAAGGGCCACAATGACCATAACAGGGACAGGAAGCTGGGGGCTTGTTGAAGGTCAGCCCCTTATTATTACCATTATTGTTTTATAGATTGCATAACTTGGCCATCCTTGAAGTGAATGGGTAATTATCCAAGGGCAGATATTTATAGGATGAGAGCTAGGCTCATGGTGTCATGTCTTCCCAGTACTCTCGTATAACGTTTTGAAACTACCGACGGTTTTGGCCTCCACCTCACTTGTTTCAACCGTCTACTATTCTGTTTGCAAAATAGTAGTGTCACGCTAGTTATGTTTTAATTAATTAAATTACAATTGTTTGTAAATAATTGAGCAAATCCCACACCTTGGATGGGGACGCTAAAATGTAATGTTTAGTCATTTTGCATTTGTTAAGTCGTTTCTAATTAATAATTTTTTTTGGTGTAAAAGCATTGGAAGCAATTGCTGTATTGTATAGAAAAAATAAGAAAAGACTAGTATTAATTAGTTGCCATAATGGCATTTTCTGGTGAAGAAATATGCTAGCCTGTCTTGAAATGTTTATAAACATTTGTTCTGATATTTATATTTATGGTGTTTGTGATTACATGTTATAAAATTTTCTGATAATTCAAACAAAACTGCATAGAAAATTGTATACACAGTGGATACATTAGAATGTAATATCTATGTAGGCTTCCCTTTGTCTTGCTGTTCTGGGATCTCGGCGACTGGGTGGTTTGGGCTCGTAGCCAGTCTGCATATCTGGAAATTGGGAAGCCAGTCTGTCTCTGGAAATCTGGAATCCAGCCTGTGTGTCGGGAAATCAGGAAGCCTGTGTGCATGTTGGTAAATCGGGAAGCCAGTTCTTTCCCATCTTGCTGGGTTCGGATTTGGGTTACCGGTGAACTTGAAGTCGCAGTTGATTTTGTCACAGGTTGAGCCTGGTGTAGGGTTCTTGGTCTGCCTCCCTTTTCAACCTATGGCTCTGCTTTGTTTACCGTCATGATCCATCTGGTGTTGGCATAGCCTACTCGGTGATTGGTCTAGCAGTTGTGCGGGAATTGGAATTTTGCCTGTGTTGTTTTTCTCTCGTAGGTGGTTTGGCTCGGGGTACTTACTGTTTAGGTCTTGGTGGTCCACCACCCTTTGAAATTAGAATAAAATAAACATATCAGCAGACATTACAATTTGATAGCTTTTTAACAAGTTTTTTTTAATAGAAATAAAAATATTCATGATTTTGTGGAAATATAACAAACATTTTATAGGATTGTCCTATACTTATCCTATAGATTTTATAGAATTTTTCTGATCTCTTTAATTATATCTATGACTTTGCAATAATATTTCAGAAAACTGGGAGTAACAAAAATGACAGTACTAAGTTTTGTGTAACCATATCCGTGGTTTAAATGCTAAATGTAATAAATATAAACCTTAAAATATGTTAATTTTATAATAATGTTAATGTTAGTTAAAATGTTAATTTTTAAACAAATATGTTAATGGGTAAATGTGTTTTAGGCCATTAATGTTGTAAAATGTAGGGTTACGAGTTTAGGTAATGCTAATAGTTACCGGACATCAGCTGGACGCTGGATGATGTTGATATTGTGAAGTCAGGATGGTAAAAAATATTTGGGGCATTACCTGTGTCCTAGGCAAAACGTCGATGCCTAATTGTATGACGTGAGACAAATAAGATTCAAGTTTATTTCTATAAGAGTTAGCAGTTAGATTCAAGAGCTTTATCTTAAACTTGTTAGGCCCTGTATAGATTATGCAGTTGACTTTTGGTCTCTGCACTATAGAATGGACATAAATTCACGTACCTGTTTATATCAGAGGATGATGGTTATTCCCAAGAAGTAGGTTTCCTTAATTACCCTTTGTGAAGATATTAAAAATCGTAATTTATATTCTGTAGAAAGGTGAAGCATACAGGGTGGCTTGACAAGCATATAATTGTGGGTAAAAGAGAATAAGGTTTGAAAATTAATCTAAAATTTAAAAAGATTTTAAATTAATGAAAATAAACAGTATTTAAACTGGTTAAATTCAGGATGGTTTGAGTTAAATATTGATTTAGAAATAAGGTTGTTGATATATGGAAAAAATTGCAAAGTAACAATAGATATGGGATTGCTGGATTGTTTCAGGAGTGAGATAGATAGATGTATGTGGCTGAGTTTGGATAAATAACAGCTGCCTTGTATGAGCCAATTGGTCTTCGGCAGTTATTGTTATTCATATGTAAATATTTTATTAATTTCAGGTCACGTTCTCGCACACCTCGCCGGCATCGGTCACGCAGTGGATCTCCTCGCAATGGACACGAGGGTAGCCGCCGTTCACGACGAACTCGGTATGGGAAAGTTCAATTCATATCTGTTCTGGAAGAGTTGTCTATTTGAATGAAATACAGTCATATGTTTAATTGCAATTAATACGTTTAAATGAGGAACATTTGTTCTCTTTGGATACATCTGTAAATATCTGATATCCAGTTTAATTTGAGGAAGTATGCCTTGAGGATTTTTAAGTATTAAATTGTGATAATTTTTTTTTTCTAAGCAGTCACATTTGCCCATCATGCCTAAGAACCATTACTGTATTATTGTATTGTAGTTGTGTAAAGTCATCTTGGGAAAAGGCAAACTTCTTACTAATAGCCAGGTGTACAATCTTCCCTAGTCAAAATTTTTGCTAGTGGCATATAACTGCTACTCTTGTGTGCTATTGCACTTGTCTAATATTTTTTAGTATCACAGTAGACAATTCTTGCATAATGGTAATTTATATAAACAATATAGGTATAATATTAAATATTTAATGCTGACTAGTATTTGCATCTTTTTTCATTCTCGTTCAAGAACTAGAAAGACTTAACAAAATTGTATGGTGTCATGCTGATGGCATGTAAATTATGTACAGTATAAAATATGTCAAAGTATTTTAAACCTGAAGTGAGAGAAGCAGGCCTGCATTGTATCTAATATTGTTACTTATTCATCTACTTTGTCATAACTGGCCTTTGGTTTTTCCAATATTGTTAGCATCTATGCCTTAAAATATACTTCAGCATACTAACCTCAGTGCCGTAACATATTTCACCGAGAGACAATAACAGCTGGAGGTCTTACAATAACTCAGGAAAGTCTATGAATATCGCTTAGATATATGATTACAATGGTCAAATTACAAATTCCCCTGGCTGGGGGGTCGTTATAAGTTTTGTGCTCTGTGATGGGAGTCAATAAAGTGGTAATTCCCTCGGTGAGGAGCAAAAGTGTGGTGTGAGAGGGTATCGAATTTTCTAGGCTAGGTTATTGATGTAGTACTTTCTTGGCTGGAAGATTAATTTTTTGTGAGCAGAAGTTAATAAATTAAAGGAAATATCTGACTAAAGTAATTTAATTCATTATATTAATGTTTAGTTAAATAGCATTCTCTGGTAATCGTCCTACATAGAGGGGGGTAAAATGATGTGCAGGAGACGGGGAATATCCTACAGTTTTTGGCTTGCAGTGACAGGTTGGGAATGATGTCGGGTGCTTGCTCACCCTTACACATCTCATAAGATGGTGAGCAAGCAACTCATACTGGAATGAAGGAACTAAACCCTAACATATTCTAGCATTGAATTTAAAGCTCTGATGTATATGATTTATAGTTATTCTTTTGCTGCTGTGTTGAGAAATGATGGTAAAGTAGATGAATTATAGGCTTGGTTTGATACATTGGCAGAATCTGAAATATTTTGAATTTTGTATGTGTTGTACTTACAAATGGAAACCTAGGCCTGTTGTTTCAGCTGCATACTAAGTGAATTATGATCACAATAGGCATAATGCAGGTAGATCTCTTGCTTACTGATTCTAAATACTTGGCTATTTGTTATCATGTCTTGTATGGCATTTGCATCATTTAAATATCATTGTCTATTTGTCTTTCTAGGTTTTAAGTGATGTAGATGTTTATTATACTTTAACTTTTGGAAAACTTTAATATTGATATGAAGAATTAGAGTAATAAATATAAGGTTGCCAAGGTGTTAAGAGAGGTGACATTAGTTTTATATGTTATGACATCTCTTCTGGACACTTTGTGGACAGTCGAGCCATCTCGTAACAGTGAAGTTTCCTCAACTCTGCAGGTCACCATCCTCAAGCTCTCCAATGTCTAATCGCAGGCGTCATATTGGCACACGAGATAACCCCGAGCCATCCAAATGTCTTGGAGTGTTTGGTTTGAGTGTGTACACAACAGAGAGACAGCTGCACAGCATCTTCGTCAAGTTTGGACCTCTGGAGAAGGTGCAAGTTGTTCTTGACTCAAAGGTAAGTTACTTTATTTTTACAAATTAATCAGTTTCACAGTTGGGAAAGGTGCTGGTTGACTTTCTTAAATTGGTATTCCTTTTGCAAGTTTAATGGCAATACTGTATGGTGGTCTATGGTGTCCACTTTTGACATTCCTTCTGTTGACATTTCATTTTCTTTTCTGCACGTGTGTTGTCTTTCATAAGCAGTGGTGGGAATGTGGCACTAATTGCCAGTGGTTTAGCTGCTACTGCCAATTATTGAAATCACTTTTTCTTTTATTGTGAATAGTTTCATGGGAAATAAAGATATCTAGTGCTTATAAACAAAAAAAAAATTCTGCCGTTTGGTTGTGGCAGTATATGCATTAATGTGTTTGCTGATTTTTTCTGGGCTTTTTGCATAACCTAATAAGGTACATGATGCATACCTCTACATGGAATTAAAGCCATTTTCAATGTAAAATTGCACGCTGCATTTCTTTCAATATGGAGGCCAACTCTTTGTACTCTATACTATGTTCAGCGCACTTCAGTTTCCTCCACTAATACTACATTTCTGTAGTTGACCAGACCACACACTAGAAGGTGAAGGGACAACGACGTTTCAGTCCGTCCTGGACCATTCTCAAGTCGATTGCGATGAGGAAGTAAACAGGCAATAAATAGGCAAGAGAGAGCGTCGTCCCTTCACCTTCTAGTGTGTGGTCTGGTCAACATACTTTAGCCATGTTATTGTGCTCATCGCCTGCACATTTCTGTAGAAATGTGAGTGAGGCAACGGTGGGTCTACATTCTCCCCATAAAACCCGGCCATCATCCTGGAACGGGTCCCACCATGACGGCCAACACTTGCACCAATATTATAACGACTGGTAGCACCACATTCGATCCAAATCCCAGCGTCACTATTTTCCTTCAATTCAGTAGCTTGTGATGCCCAATTTTCTCGACTAACAACTCTGAAAGAATGAATGTCAGTGGGTCCATTACATGCTTGCCATAGCCATTCTTCTATACTCCTGTTGCTTGTTGGTAAAGGGGTTAGTTTGGTTTCATATTAATCATATTAAAGGGATCACATCCTGAGATAATTTTAGGTACTGTGCAACATTTTCATCTTGAATTTTGTGTGGTAGGAATAAAACTGACAGAAGCAAACCAAACCCTGGATTTTTCAAGAAATCCATTTACAGCTATTACTTAAAAATAGTTTTGTTAGAGGTTTTTATGCCAGTAACATAAGCATCGCTACTTTTGCCAGCCATTCATGTGTGTTTTGACTTTATTGATTTTTTAAGATTGATATTTTATTATCATGAAATAATTTTTTATATTAAAATTCAGAGTTGGCTGTTTGAGGGACGTGTGTGATTTTTCCTTGTAATCTAACATTTAGTGTGTGTATGTAATGTCTAGCTGTCAGTTATTTTTGCATGTAGTGTTATATTAGTGTTTAGTATGTGTATGTAATGTCTAGCTGTCGGTTATTTTTGCATGTAGTGTTATATAGTGTTGCAATAATAACCTGAATGCTTTGTTCTGCCAGACTGGAAAATCAAGAGGATTCGCATTTGTGTACTTTGAGTCTATAAAGGATGCTGCTGAAGCCAAGGACGAATGCTCTGGAATGGAAATTGATGGACGGAGGATCAGAGTAGATTTCTCTATTACAAAGAGACCTCATACACCTACACCAGGCATTTACATGGGCAGACCTACCACGTAAGCTTTTTAACTTTTGTTACTTAGTATGTTGAGCTTTTTATTTTTTCATTTTACATTTGCTTATAAAAGTTTAAATACAGTATTGGTCGAGCAGTCACCAATGAGATCCTAGCGGTGAAAAAATAGTTCAACATTAATGCTTTTATGGTTACCCACTGGAACTAGTTTTGTCATTTGTCATATGTGTAGCTCTGCTGTTTTCAGCAGTCAGTTAATCTAAACATGCATATGTATGTCATGTAAATCTATGTAATTTACTTGTCAGTTTATGGATTTATTTGTAGTTTGCCTGGAGTGGGTTCTGGGAGTTTACTCCCCAAGTCCTGCCCAGGGCTAGGTTAGACTTGGGATAAATTGGCTCATCAGGCTGTTGGCCTGTGAGTGGCCCGCAGGCCAACATAGTCAATTGGGGTGGGGAAGGGAGGGGGTGGGGGGAGTTAGCACTGAGTAATATCTCGGGTAGTTTGTTGACCAGACCACACACTAGAAGGTGAAGGGACGACGACGTTTCGGTCCGTCCTGGACCATTCTCATTCGACTTGAGAATTGACATCATAGCTCTCATCATTGAGCTTGCATAACATAATGCAAGCTCAAGTTCTCAATCGACTTGAGAATGGCCCAGGACGGACCGAATCGTAATTGTCCCTTCACCTTCTAGTGTGTGGTCTGGTTAACATAATTTAGCCACGTTATTGTGACTCATCACCTGCAGGTAGTTTGTTGTTTTAATATATTGAAATTGAAGCTCTCCTTCAAAAATTGGTAGTACTTGAAGCAATAATTGGTCAAAGATACAAAAATGATTTGTATCACTTTTGTTGTTGCCATTTCTTAATAGACCAACTAGCAGGAGCTAGTGGCAAATTTGGAGTATCTAATTGTTCTGATACATGCTGAATTTTTGGCAGGCAAGTAGAACATTAAATATATATTTAAGTGATGCTGTGGTCACAAGGTGTATAGCAGTGCTATTACTGCATGCTGTATGCGCCAGCCTTGGTTGCTGACTCCGTACTGAGGCTTTCATACCCAAGAGCAGTGTCCACATTTACTTTAATTTTTTCCTAAAATGACATCTGTTTATTGGAGGCGCGAGGAAGCTGATGTGAGCCCCGTGTACCGGCAGGTCTTTTAAATCTTGTGCAGTTCTCTTAATCATATACTGTATGTATGATCTTATTGAGGTTATCTTGAGATGATTTCGGGGCTTTTAGTGTCCCCGCGGCCCGATGTATGCAGTGCAATCTGTTAGCCCAAAATTTACGTATATATGATATGCACAGTGGAAGGGTTATGCTAGAAGAGGAAACAGAAGTGGTAAGCTATAACAAAGTGGATTTTGTTGGGGTCAATCTAGTGAGTGAAAGTAAAGTATTTTTTGTTTAATATGGTTGCTATTATAAATGTTAATGCACATAAGTAAGTACAGTAATGTCACAATGCAATAGTGGTTTAAAGTGTTGTGATATTGTATATAGTAAGTGTGCATAGTCTCACGTCGGCAGTACTATTTATAACTTGTTTCAGACGAGGTGGTTATGATCGTGGATATGGTGGGCGAGGTGGCGGCGGGTATAGGGGAGATAGATACCGCTCTCCTTCACCACGATACAGGCAACGTTCCAGTGGTGGCCGCCGCGACTATTATGACCGTGGGTATGTACCCGGCCTGGGAGTTACTGCACAACTCAAGCCACTACCAGACAGTATTCATGTGGAGGCAAGCTAGTTAAGCAAGTGTACAGAAGCTATTGTGTAGGCCTCGGGGCTGAAGATGATGAACCACAAGTTATTGGTGAAGGTTGTTAAGCATTGAATGAGAAGTATTCAGGTTCATTAAGAACAAGTTCCTTTGGCAGTTGACAAGTCCACATGAAACACAAATATAATGTGCGAAACACTAAGAATTGAGGATTCTCAATAGCCTGAGGTAAGATGGGATAACTTGAGGATAACAAGGGTTCATATACTTGCATTTTGCCTCCACAGTATGCTCAGAGTTTTTGATTGCCACATCGCTTAATGTTTGCTGTGATATTGCCTATATGATTGACAAGTGGCTTACTACAGGTCATAAATACACTACATATCTGGTTTATCTGCCAATCAACTGAATATTGACTTCAGATAGAAGTACTGTAATGTTGCAAAATATGGACTAAACACGTCAATCTTGTTCCATCCTTCAACCTGATTATTTCATAGTCATCCTGCACAATAACTTGCTCAACAGTCCTCTCTTTGAGGCACCAAAGCTATTTATTATGGGTGTTGGAACATCTTAGTTTTACTATTGATCATTGATTCAGCAATTTATATTTTTGTGGACTACTGTGATCGAGATGAGGAGCTCGGTAATATTCTGGAAGAACTTTTTGGCTTAAGGTTGTACAAGACTCTCCACAAACTATTTTAGTTAACATGATTGTATAAACGAGAAAATTGTTTTGCAATGTGGGGTTTTTAATTATGAAATTAGAGGAAGTTAACAATAGGATGGGACAGTAAAACAATGCTTGGCAAAAGTTTGTTAAAGCTTAATCTTAATGTTTATTGGTTGTTTTGCTGAATGCTTGAGACACAAATATCAGGTTCACCCCCATTTTTCAGCATTTTATTCTTTTCTTTTTTTTTCTTTCAAGATATATTCTTTTAAAAGAATATATCTTGGGTCGACATTCATGCTTTTCTGCATTCTGCCCATTAACAAATTTTCAAAGATAATGATAAAAAAAAAAAAGATGTTAATGTATTTAATTCAAGTTAGCATACTAATACCTGAATTACTCTCTCAAATGCCCGATAACCAGTTTCCCTTCATGTTATTTACCAGATTGAAGTGTAAACGTGACCTGTTTGTAAAATTATTTATATTGAAGATCTCAGATATTCAGTGATGTGGAAATCAAATTAATTCACTTTAACTCTTGGTTCATCTAAAAGAAAATAATGTGTGGTGGAGAAGTTATACAATATATGGTATGAACAATGAGTTACAAAAGTGAAAAGCATTGTAAATATACACGACTTTGGCTTCAGTTTTGGATTTTGAACATTTGTCAATTGTATAGCACGCAGGATAGTAGTAGTTTACGGCACATACCACATGTGTAATATTTGGGCCTTGGTGCCCCCATAGGGCCAGATAGTCGATCATGATATTTTAGGGCTGAATCATTGCTAAACGTTAGTTCACAAGAACTGAAAAAGTTTACTTGGTGTAAAGCACACTAATTACTACTCTCTCCTGCCTACTAAATGCTGGTAAAAAAATAAACTGCCTTTGAGGGCACAAAGGGACAACAGTTTTCAGCTCCTAGACTTTGATTAAAATTTTTGTTTAAAAATCAGTTTGAGAAGCAAAGTCCTGACATAATATGCATCACTTTTTGAACTCTTATTGCTTCTATCATATTATCAATCCTCAAATAATAAAGGAACACATACACAAAAAATGTACTCACAGAACCACACACAGGAAAAACACAATAGCATACACATACTGTACTTCACATACACAATATAAACACCTGTATAATATGCCACATACTTGACTGCTGAGCAGTATATATTTGTTTTTCTCCAACAGATACGACCGTGGAGACCGGAGTTACTATAGAGGTGGTGGTGGCTATGACCGATATGACCGTCAGCCACACTATGACCGCTATGACAGATATGATAGGGCTTATGACAAGTACGAGCGTTATGAGAGGTCTAGATCCCGGTCATATTCTCCACGTAAGTAAATGGTTCCTCCGCCAGCTAGAGTTTGACTGTCATGTGGTGTACCTGGTTGATTACCTGGTTGATGGGGTTTTGGGAGTTCTTCTACTCCCCAAGCCCGGCCCGAGGCCAGGCTCGACTTGTGATCCAGGTATCATGTATACTATATGATCCAGCTGTAATGTTATAAAAGGGCAGTGTAGGAGAAGTTATCCACTAAATTGACCTTGTTATTAACAGCTTATACAAACGTGTACTTGACTTGACTGATTCTGACTACATTTTGTGAAAATCTGATCATGTTCAGGTTTGTAGCAATTCTATCAAATATATAGTTAAACACTTCAAACTATTTTTTATTTCAATTCTCTAATGATGCACTGAGGTGGGTGAGTGTAATTACTTAGGTGTAGTTACAGGGTGAGCACCGTGTGAACATTCAGTGTGCGTGTGCACAATATGCACATAAAATGTATTCATTCCTTCATGGCAAAAAATGCTTCAAAATATTTTTTTCGTTATAAATGTACATGTTTTAGCCATCTGATTTTATTTTTTCATCATAGTTTCTTACCAGAAATCATTGAACATGTGTGGTTTTGTTCACTGTATTGTTCAGCCAATTCTGTACAGTTTGGAAGATATGATATAAATTTGCCAGCTGAAAATTTTGAGTGGTTCTGGAACTGGTGGCAGTAAAATTTTATTTACAAAAAACTACTGTATTAAAACTACATATTTTCTTCCATTAATATCTGAAGAAAATTTGTCCCTTTGTAAATTCCCTATTTACTGTCATTGAGATGGCCACATGCTTTACAAACACCTTGTATCCGAATATGCCATTTCCTGATTGGGGTTGGTTCAGGTAGGGCAAGGTTTGTATAAAATGGTGCGGGTAGTACATCAGGACCCAACCCCTCCTCATAAACTCAAGCCAAAGTCCATTCCATGCACCCGCCAAACACCCTGTTTATGAATGAAAAACAGTTTACACATGACTCACAACGGATGATGTCAAAACACTTCTGGAACTAATGCTTCACTGACTACTTCTGTTCGAACCACAATGCTGTAAGTGCTTCACCAATATACTACAAATATAAATAATCACCAACAGAACCCAAACACTTAACCTAACTAATGTCTAAATATGCACAATATGCATATTGCGTGTTGTTGTAGGTAGGTGCGTACGTCCTTTCCGTACAACCAACCAAAACCCGTAGAGTGCTTGTACTTTGATCAGATCACCCTGTAGGCTTCCTGCTCTTGGAGAGGGGCTCAGTGTCACACATTTAGGGGGGGGGTGCGGCTCCAACACTGGCCTCGTTGTCACATGCGCACACCCAATTCGAGCCGCTGTAACTCCCCACTCTCCTTATTTTGGTATGACCCCCTCAATCCCCCTTTCTTTGAATTCTGTACCACCCCGTCCACAGCTGTGGTTCTTTTTCTCTTTTCTACTTTCTGGGAAGTCTCGCTAGGACAAGGGCAAACACCGGCAAATTATCTACATTTATTTGAACTATATTATATACATTGACGGTGAACATGTGCAACACACATAAGATACAATTATGACTCCAACACTATTCTATTAGTCAGGTTGCATTCAATATGATCAGGACTCTATTAGCTTCTTATCCCATGTGGTAGCCCAACTCCTGGCTTGCCACTTTCGCTACCACCCTCACCAAGTGGGTTAAATCTCATTATACAATACAGCACTACCAGAATATATATATATATATATTCCCTACTGTTACAGCCATCCATAGAATATATGTATGGCTGTAACACTATAAACATCTGTATAAATATGCCTTCATACAAAAATGGTCAATCACCCACCTTCCACTGCATCTTGCATGCCAATGACACTCAAGCACTCTACCAACTCTATATAAGAAGTCACTAAGTACCTCTTCTATACACCTAGAGGGTCACTGCCCTGAACATCTTCAGGTTCTCCTAGAATTGTCTACCATGGTCCTCCACAGCTCTTCCGGCTGCTGCACCATGAAGTCTTTCTTGAACAGCAATAGCGCTTCACCACTGGTACCGCAGAAGCACGTGATACTACTCTTCACTGCTTCTCACACAGCTCGAGGTCCCACTCTTAACTGTGGGGCTACTCTTCCTCAGAGTACACTGCTCCTTCAACTGCCTTGGAGTTTTATCTACTAACTCCTTCTACTGGCTCGAAGTTCTCTCAGCAACTCCTTCCCCAGACAAACCTGCAACCCATTGACACACCAATAAAGGTGTTTCCCTATAAACATATAACTAAACTAAACTACACAATAAATGTCTCGACATGTCTAAATGTCGGTCTACATTCCTCTGATTCCTGCGTGCTGTGAGGGAACTTCCCCACACCCGGACGGGTCCAGTCTCCACCTTCACCTGGTAATTTAATTCTCTGTCAACTAACTTACTCCTAGCTGCCGATGTGGTGATTCGCCTCTCCTTCAGCGGTGACTTCAACTTGCGATTGATGCCATGTCGTCTTGGGTTTCAAGTTCTCTGCAACCAAGACTTGTGCTATGACTTTTACTCGGAAGCATGTCGTTCTCCGTCCCTCTTTTTTGCATTATGATCATTCCCTTGTGTACAAAGATTCAGCTAAGCTTTTGGGGTTAATCTTTGACACTCGTTTGTCTTGGTCGCCCCATATCTCTTACCTCCTAGTTGAATGCTCTAAAGGCCCTTAAGGGGGCGTCAGTTTCCAATTTGCCCTAAAAATGCAACAAATGAAAACTCCTTCGATTTCAATCAAACTTTTTTGACAAGTTCTATATGAAAAGTGTTTCATCTGGTCCAAGTTTCAGCATCGTAGCATAAATAGGAAGAGAGAAAAAAAATATTGAAGTAGTTGTGAAAATTATGCCAACATGGTCAAAATCGATTATCAATCAAAAGTGTCAACTGAAATCATAGCTATGACTCTTTGCTATCACAATAGCATATATTAAACAAATATTATAATTAGTTAATTAGTTTAATTGAATTTTTTTTTTTCCGGGCGATTTGCATCAAACTTACACACCTGACTGTACGTATGCCTATCTGTAAGGACGCCAATTTTGGAGAAAATTGGTTGATGTCAACCTCAGCCACAGATTTTAGAACCTTAGACTTCATTCATTTCTGTTTTTTTTCAATTGACACAAATGTTTACAAAACTGATTCATTTTTTATTCAATTTACATGAAACTTACACAGTATATGTGGAGGGCATGTCTCTACATTTGAGAGTTTTCATTTTTCTCTAAGTTCATTTATTGATTTTATAATAGCAATAAACATGCCATATTTGCAAAAAAAAATTTGGGAACTTTGAACATTTGTATTAGGAAAACTAAAGATGTTTTGGAAATTCTATATCTCAAGGTCCTTTATTATATGCTAATGTGTCAGAAAAGTGTCACAGAATAATTATATCTGAAACGTGTGTTCTGAAGTGTGGACTTGAAAATGTGTAAAAAACGTTGAAAAAAAACAAAAACAAAAAAAAATCTCCCTTTCTATTTATGCTGCAGTACTGAAACTTGGGACAATTAAAGCACTTTTCATATACAACTAGTCAAATAATATTGGTTGACATTGAACAACTTTGATTCTGACAATCTGACGCCCCCTTAATCTACTTAAGGTCTTGTCCCATACTTCTTGGGGAGTGGATATGTGCACGCTCCTCTCTTTGATTATGATTATGATCCTCTCAATTATGGTTGCCCTGCTTACTCTTTTGCTTCTCCTCCTACTCTTCGCCGTCTTGATCCTTTGCACCTTACTGGGTTGCGCCTCAGCTCTGGTACCTTTCATTCGACTCCTTCCCTCATCTTGTATGTTGACACTGGCTTTCTGTCTCTCCAGGACCGCCGAGATCGCTACTGTCTTCGCTACCTTGCGCGGTCCTTACAACACCCTCGCTCTCGCCCGAGTCGTGCTTTGACTTTTTCCCCTCCTGTAGTTTCTGTTCCCCTTCACCACCTCCCTCTTTTTGTCCGGTTGTCTCGCCTGCAACATTCTCTTTCGGTTAGTATTACTAATATTTCTCCTCGTGTTGTTCCGTCCTTGTCCCCGTGAAGGGTCCCCCCTTCCTCAATATTGTAAATCCCTGACCCACATCACTAAACCTTTTACCCCTCCTACAGTTCTGAATTGCCTTTTCCTTGAACACTTTTCTTCACACTCTCAATGTGTGGCCACATTTGTGGCCACAGATGGCCACACATGTGTGGAAATGTGTGGAAATGATGGAAACTCCATTTCCATCTTCACTGATGGGTCAAAGTCTGCAGACGGGTTAGGCTACTCTGTTGTTTTTCCAGACCACACCTATCTGTGTCGCCTACCTCCGGAGACTAGCATCCTCATGGCAGAACTTCATGCTATTCTCTCTGCTCTTCGTCTCCTGCTTTCTTGCTGTCAATCCTCCTTTGTGGTTGTAGTTGACTCTTGCAGTGCCCTCATGACTCTAGAGTCATTTAATCCAGTCCATCCGGTGGTAGTCAAGATTCAACATTGGCTGTTTCTTATCTCCAGTAGATTTAAGACAGTTGAGTTTTGCTGGGTTCCCACCCATATTTGTCTTACAGTGATTAACAACTGCTGGGCAAGGAGAGCCTTTGAGGCAGTGTTGACCATATTGGCACACAGTAATTGTCTAGTCCTAACTTATTGTCTGCTACTATACCACTTCACACCAGCAATGCTAAGTGTACCTATTGGGCATTGTGTTGCACAACTGGTAAATGCTCCTGGTCGGTATTGAGTCATACTCATACATTTCTGCTGGATATACAGCAATTGCTTAATAAATAGGATTGGTTTGAACAGTGGATTCGTGGTTCATTTTGTACTATCATTTGCACAAATGAAACCATGTTGTCTGGAAACAGGAATATCGGCTGCATTTACAGGGCTTGGAACCTATCCATTCTGTTTCATCAAAAATACCTTAGGACTTTGATGTTCTCTCACCCTTATTAAATATTTATCAGTAGTTTAAATAATGGAGTGTGGTCATAAGGGTAGAAAGGTATTTTGGTTCTAAAATAATTCACTTAGATGCTTGATTAACTTGTGTTTATTCAATCAGGTTGCTATTTTCCGACCCAAAAGCATAATAATCATTGAATTGTAAGCAATATTAAGCCTTTCACATTTTTAGCCCCTTACCAATTTTGGGCACTACCGCCGTCTTGTGCCAAGCACAAATCGCTTAGTGATAATTTACTTCCAACGCATACTGTGAAGTTACTATGTAAGGTAAAGTATTCAATTTGGTATTGTTTTTAAGCTAAAAAGTTATACTTTATGATGGTATTTTCAAATGCATTAAATGCAAAATAAAATAACAAAAAGTTAAAATTAGCCGACATGATGAAAATTTACGTTAGCCAGCATCAATGTTCTGGTGTTTTGAGCAGATGAGTACTGTAGGTGTCAGAAATGTTAGAGGGTTAATGAAAGTTGTAATGAAAGCAAATTTAGGATTGCAACTCACCTCTGACACTAGTTTCCTCACTTTAGATTCAACCACTCGAACGATGCATCAACTTGTGCATTCCTGAAGAGTTTAGTTAGATATTTACCTAATTAATTAGGTTTAGTTAATATCAGCATTAGTACAAATGCTGATATTTGAGATCTTAGCCTTGCTGTTCTAAGTATCAGTCAGTTACTCTTTTACTCAGGGCATACAATAACACTTGGGGATAATGCTTTCAATCTTCACATATATAGTGTAACCTCGGTTGACGACGACCCTACAGTACGAATTTTTTGGTTGACAACACCAAATTCATTTTATAATTTGAATTGGTGCATGACGGTTTACTTGGAAGACGACGTCTGTTCATACGCGTATGGGTCGAGCGAGCGAGTGATGCTGGGGGAGAGGCACTCTTGTTTTATTTACTAGTCTATCCCGTGAAGTGATGACCGTGGCCCGCGCTTGAATTCTTTGTAAAGAATTTCATTATTTGTGTGCTTTTTGCTATTTTAACATAAAAGAAATTATGAAGTGGTGTACAATATGGGAAGAAATGCAAACTTTTGTTGTAAAGGCTTACCCAAATCAAGCTGTAGCAGGCTGTTGTTAACCATTTTAATGACAATGTGATGTCTCGCCTCAGATAAGTGTTACAACATAGGAAAAAAATAGTGTTGCTAGACAGGTTTTTAGTGAGGAAAAACAAGCGGTGAGCCGCAAGCAGGTCCTAGTGGTATGCAGGCAAAACAGGGTACCCCAGAAAAGTCACCATTGCGTGATATTATAATGGAAGAGGGACTCCCCCTTCACTCTCCCACTCCACCTCTCCTCCCCTCCTCCTCAGTCTTCCGTACGCCAACAAGAGTCCTCATTCAAGGTAAGGTATACATACAGTACTGAATTGTAGGTACTGTAATACAAAATGAGATTTATTCGGTATAAAATGTATTTTTAAGTTAATACTATATTTTTGGGGTGTGTGGAATGGATTAATTCAATTTACATTATTTCTTGTGGGAAAATTCATTTTGGTTGACGACACGTCTGGGAACGGATTACGATCGTAAATGAAGGTAGCACTGTACTCTGCTGTTAACTATTAAACAAAATAAAGGTGTTCCTTTTCCAGGTCATGGCTTTGACACATGACCTATATGTTATGTCAACATATTAACAGGATTTTTTGTAATACATTGAGGGATGCTGGGGGGGTAGACTGTACCCAAATACCAAAATAATTAAATCCTATTTCCTTATGGTATCAGATTAGGTACGCATAAGAGGCATTCATATGTGCTCTGTTAATCATTGTGCTGTTTAAAATCGCTTTGCATCAGGTCCCCATATATGCAAATAAAAAATATGCAAAGTTATTACAAATTTCCACAGTATAACAATGTTTTAACAAAATAAGGAGCGAGGGATATTTATGGAAGTGTTGATACTACACCTGAAGCCTGTCGGCGAGCAGCATGCTGGCGCAGATGATGGGTGGGCAGGATTTTTGTCTACAGTAAACATTATAAGATATATTAGATCAATAAACTACATTGGAGAATCATTGAAGAGTATAAAATACGTTCTACTTGCCACTAATTTGACATCAAATGGAAATAATACTTATAATTAATATACTGTATTTGGGGGCCATGAGAGAAGACAAGGTAAGTGTTAAAAGATTGGTGTAAACAATGTGTATATCCCTATTGTGAATAATTGGAGTCTAAAATTTGATGTATAGAGATAGTTCTTTTAACTGTGAAAATTTTTCCGGTGCAAGAGGCAGTAAAATTGTATGAGGGATTTCAAGTGGTTATGATGGAGAAAAGAAAAAAAATGTGCATAATGAATGGTCAACCTATTTAAATACCTGCAATGCTTGATTTCAGAAAGAGGAATTTGTGCAACTGAAGTCACTAAGGCAAGGAAAGTGGAAAATTCAGTTTGGAAAGTAGATAAAGAAATGTATGTAGCTGAGGTGTACATGGTGGTGGTGGTAGCTATGTATGGTCACAAGACATTATGCTATGAGCATGGGGGCCATGGTGGTGCCGACTCTCATGGAAGATTACGAGATGGTGGGGCGAGTATGAAAGAGCAGTAGAATTGTGGCATAAAAGAGCCACTTGACTGTACTGAAATGGTTTGGGCTACTTGAATGAATATATGATGGTATGATGGAGCTTGAGTGAGTGCATGATTAAATTGGCAATGTGTAGCAACACATTGTCCATTTAGTGAGGTTGTTCTTGTTATAGATTCAGCTACTCTGAACAAGTTCCAAGTAGCACAGGCTATGGTGAGCCCGCAGCTTACCTGGCACAGGAGCAGTGCTGTGTGTATATGATTTAGTGAGGCATGTAATGTGTATATATATAACTGATGACCAAACCACAACTGGGAAGATGGAGAGGTGACGACGTTTCAGTCCATCCTGGACCATTATATATAACAGTATAATTTATATACATGCGTGTGTATGTCCCCTTCTTCTCCACTCCACCTCCATCCCTTCCTCCTCACTATCTTATTTTCCCCTCATATAGTTGTCCCTGGTCTCCTTTCGTAAATGATTCATTGCTAATACTGGTCACCCTCTCTGGCAAGCCTCAAGCGTACCAGTTACCAAGGTGCTATATCAGGTGCTCATCATGTGATCTAGTGTTGTATTCTTGTGTTTGCATGTGTAAAAGCCACAATATATTTGTGTCATCTGCAGCGGGAAACAAGTTACATGTAACAATGCTCGTGGTATTGGACACTTTAGTGTCTGAACCTTCCTAGGTCTCTGAATTATTGCTGATTTGAAATATAGCAGCACTAATTGTATATTTAACCTCGGAATATAATGTTCAGCATAATGAACAAAATTCCCTGGTTTTAAGCATCTAATAGTTGGGAGTATTCAAAAGGTATACTCATAGTTTACCTTATGAATATGAAATTATTTCCACTTTAGACAGTAGGAGAATTGATAGTAAAGCAATGTGTTGTCCTTAATGCATTGTTAGCATAACAATGCATCTTTAAAGATTTTAATTCACTCTAATTTGTATGTTTGTACCAACCCAGGTCGGCTGAAGGCATCGGATTAGATGCCAAACGATGCCGTGAATTGGGACACCGCTGACCAGGTGTAATTTCAACATGTGAAGGATGCTCTCTCAGCAAAGAAGTGATGAATCATACAGGAGCTAGTTCAATAAGCAAGATATTGTGGCTTTTATTTGACATGCTTCCATAAAAAATTTTTTACATGTTTTATGAATATTGTCCATTAACTGATATTGGTGTACCTATTATTTTTTTGTTTTTAATAACATGGTAAGCACTGTATATAGCATGTATTTCCAGTTTAGAAGTGAAGGGATGTGCTAGTAGGCAGAGTACAGTAAAAGGTAGCACGTCAACAAAGAGAACTGAATCTGGTTCCCAAAAGTCATACACTAGCATAAAGAGTACCGGTCAGTTGGTGACTTGTATTACAATGTTGTACTGATGGCCCGAGTGTTAACATCTTACATGATCGGTATAGCATCCGTTATTACCATAGGAGCGGAGATTGCACGGTTATTTCAGTGGTAGTAGCGGGGTGCGCGGTTGAGATATTACAATGGTTCTTCATCTGTAAAAGTACCAGCAAAGGGTGATGATTCTCACATTGTATTCTGTCTTCATATAATATATGCAGTTGGTATTGTTAATAGCATTACCTATTTAAAATACATGCAAGAGTGAATGTAATTTAATGAACTGGGTTTGTGATCATCTATAAACTGTGTGGTTGTCTCTGGTGGGCATTGTAATTTGTAAAAAGAAACACCACATTTCTGTATCCCAAACTATTCTGTTAAGACTCATGGTTGATATACAGGGCTTCTGAGCATTTTGAGTAATTTTGTCTGCCTGTTGAGATCTGTGATGTGGCTTTAGGGTAAGGAATGGCAAATTTACCTTTTCTTTACTTCACTACTTTGGTTTGAGCCAAAGATAATTCTTTTATAATATGTTTTTTATGAGCATTGTATAATTTGGCTTATACTATTTCTCTGTGAGAATATATTTAACCTGAGTAAAGAGTTTGTTAGAACTGGGCATTATGATAGCACAGGGCATAAGCCTTTCACTGTAATTTACAGCATAAAATATACAATACAGTATAGTCATTTCGTGTGTAGTTATTCATGTATTACTAAAAAAAAAAAATCAGACAATTATGTAATTAGCACTGTTTAGTTAATATTGATGTTATTGAACACATCCACAAGCCTTGATGAGGGTTTGAACTATGCGCTGAATGTTCCCAGATGTGCTTTTAGTCATCTGGACCAAGACATGGAAAAGAATTGCAACCTGGAATGCTACTGCACCCACGAGGGTGCAGTGTTTGTCGTCTTGTCCTCGGAGTATGTGAATGTACCAGTGACGAGATGCCTTGTGACCCTACAACATAAAAGCCAAACGTAACATAATTCATAGTAGTAAGCATAAATGTTCCATCTTGAAGTGTCAGGATATTTGCGGACATGAGATTAGATCACTCACTACAAGTTATTATGCACATCTTTGTCTTCGGAAATACTTTGCACTTTGTCTTCGGAAATATATGGAAGTGTTCTTCCACCACTCCTACTCCTTAATGATGGCCACGATAGCTGCCTTGTAGTCGCCAGAAACATCACCCTGAAGGTCTTGTTCGAGAGACATGTCTGACTGCTTGAAGTTGCCCAAGTCTATCTCGGAGCGAGACACCACCAGGTGAATGACCGCCTGGTCCTTGATGCCCATTCCCGACACTGCTTCTCGCAGCTCCTTAGAGAAGAACTCGCTGCGGTTCTTCATGCTATGTTCCGTGTCCAGAAAAATCGGCCTTTATAACGTCACCAAAACTCCTGCCCTTAATATTAGTGTATTCTTCAAAGGCAAGGCACAGGGGAGAAGAGTATGAGTTCATAATGTGGATGAATTTTTTCTCATCAGTTCCTATCCTGCCTTCACCTGCTTTACAGTGTGTGCACTATTTCCTTGGCTAGTGACCCTTGATATTGCAGGGTCACAAGATCTCTGATACATTTACATACTCTGAGGAGGAGGAGACAGAAATATCGAGAGGTATCTGAGAGAGGGAGGTGTTACCCTGTGCGTGTGAATGCGTGTCAGCTGTAAGTTTAAGAAATGACTTTGATATCCAGGATATTACATTTTTATGCAGTAATTACTTAATAATTAGGATGAGACCTAGTTACAGGATGAGAGCTACACTCGTGGTGTCCTGTCTTCCAAAGACTGTCATTTAGTGCTTTGAAACTTCTAATGGTTTTGGCCTCCCAACACTTTGCCGAACTTGTTCCAACCGGTGGTGATAGAAACAGATTTTAATTATTAAAAATGATTATTCAGGTGAAACCACTTTATCTTTGAATTAGGCAGTCATGATTTTTTTAGTTTCTCATGATGCAGCAAGCTTCTGTAATTATAAATGTAATGGTTTTACACAGCCAACATTAAAGTGGTTTTATACTGCACTCTACATCGTATGCTCTATAAATATAAAATTGCTTGGAATAAGGTTAAATATGTCATTACTTTTTGTCCCTGAATTTATTATTCATTGATGTATGGGATTTATATCAAGAAACTATGTAACTTAGGGGTCATGAATTAGAACTTTATCCTCCTTTAGCAATGGGAAAGGGCATTCCTGATTTCAAGACTGCAGTGTAGTGTGTGAGGATAACAATTTATTTGATACAGCAAACCCAACACATTTTCAGAATCGACATATTTCCACGTCTGTATTTTTCAAATGCCTCCCTTCTCTGTTAAGTCATTCACATACTGTACTTTGCTCTCACAATCTTTGTATGTTTATTTAAAAACTTTACATTTTTTTTTTTTTTGGTACAGTAGAAATTTAATTCTTTTAAATTGAATTTACATTAATAACTTCTTTACCATAGTTGTTGCGTCTTCCTTTTTAATTTCATGTCCTTCAAATGCATATTTTATATTTCCGGAAGATACAAGGATTAATGCTTGAAGATACAAGGGTTAATACAGGAAGATACAAGGGTTAATGCAGGAAGATACAAGGAGTAACGTGTGAAGATACAAGGATTAATGTGGCTGCCTCGACGGCTGTCACCTTAGGCTAACCACCAGGTTCCTCAGACTTTGCATGTTGTCCACATTATTTCATTACATACAAGATCTAATATAACACAAGTGATTTAAATTAGTTGTCCTAAATAGACTGGAGTAACTTTAGATTTTTTAGTTTTAAGATAACCTCAGACAAGATGTAACTTCAACAATAAGTGGGCATTTGAATCAAGTAGTTGTGTTTATTATCACGTGTTATATTACAGTGTGTTTAACTGTTTTGTATAAAGCATCTTGAAGAATATTGTTTAATGTTGTATAAGCATGAACATTGTTTAATTTCATGAGATGAAATATCAGTTTTTCTTATGGTAAAAAATTACTATTGGAATTTCTGCTTAAAATGAAAAGAAATACAATAGTGGGAGCCAAGATTTTAGTGTTTAATGCTGTACAGGTTAAGATTTGTGTCTAAGATTTTAGTTTCATTTCACTGCATCATTTATCTTTTTTGTGAAAGCAAGTTATGAAAACAAAATATTTTACCTGTGCTTGAAAAGTGATCTGATGCAGTGTAAGCATTAGTTAATGAGGTTTCTTTTACTTTTAATGCTTATTTTTAGGCAGATTTGACATTCTTGCCTTTATTGAGAATTAGAGGAACATTATTTTTTGTTTTATATATACTGTACTTGTATAATGGTCAGGAAATTATTCTTGTACGTTTTAGGTGTTAACCAAAATTTTGCAGTGTGTTGAATTTAGATAAGCTGCTCTGAGCAGGTTAGCTGACTATTGCTCACCATTAGTTATGTTTTGTCCTTTTTAATGTGTCACTAGTACCTTGCATCATAATGTACAGAGCCTTGGACATGCTGTCCATAAAGAAAATGGTATTATTGGATATTCAGTTTTTTAGTTGTTACAAAACGCATGAAATTTGTAAAATCATTTGAAATCAGAGTTATTTTATTTTGGTAAATTTATATTTTTTCAAAGGATACATTGAATCTTTTTGTTATTCTTTAACCATATTGAGCTTTAGTTTCAAGTGATTTTTTCTCTCACAAGAATTAAAACTAGTTTGCCATTTCACTTTGTTTGTGTTGATATGTACCTATTTAAGGGAACTGTTAGCTTCAATATTGAGAGAGCTAAGGACATGGTCAACTCAGTGCTATTATACAGTAGTAATTGTTGAATCATGGACTTCCCATATTAATTTTAATATGATTTTGATAAAGCTGCTTTTGTCTGTTACACATGGAAGTATGAACAATAGATTAGCCAAATGAAACATGACTTGCAGTCGAGAATATAATGTTAAATTTCGATGTAATGTTTTTTGTGCGCATAAATGCTGGACTTTATTTTCAGCAAGACATTCATTGAATGGAAGTAGTGAAGCTGAAGACGTATTGAGTATTAATATAGGCCATACATATATCTGTTGGTGACTTACATTGGCTTGTGTTGTGGTGACTAAAATCCCAGAGATTAGTGTGAACATCTGATATGTTCGTAGGAACATCCTCATTCTTCTCAAGAGTGCGATTTGTAACTGGACTGTTGCGGAATGTTCTGTATAGTATTTAATTTAGTACTGTGAGTGCAAAGCCAATTTTAATGCAAGAAAAAAATCTTTATTTGTGTATTGGAGCATGTGTTTTCTTGTCAACTGTTTACATGTAAATTCTATTTGTAAGTGGGAGTGAGATGTAGTTGTAAACTTAATGAGTAATTGCACATAAAGACTTTCAAGTACACGGCTTGTATTTTATCTCCTACATGTACATTATAAGCATGGCCACATGCACTGGATAATATATTATTTAAGAATGGCCTAGTTTCCCCCACCCAGAGAAAGTGGTGTCCACAGGGTTTTTTGTGTCTAAATAGATTTGTGAACTTTTGGTATTTGACTTCAATGAAAAGCTGTGTGATCGTTTGTTCGTTGGTGGCCTGAGCCTTGATGTGGCAAATAGGTTGGCTATGAAGCTTTGGCCTTAAGGCAAGAATGGGAATAGTCGTCGGCCTCTGGCTCAACACATCGGGACTGATCTTTTGGTACTTGTGGTGATCCAACATCTCGACAAGTGTGATGGCTTTGACGACTACCCGTTAGTCACTATTGGTGGAAGCCTTTATTTCCCTTTATGGAAGGTGCATGGTATTCTGTGTACTGGACCCTATTATATTAGATAAAGCAACATTTTACTAGTTTTAGCTACCAATAATTTGTAAGAGTCGAATGTCTCTTCACATCAGTTCTAAAAGATGACAATTACAGTATGTTCCCTTCTCTCTCTGAGAGATGCGGGTACTAAATTAGTGCCTGTCCCATCTCCCAGAAGAAAACTACTCTGATCTCTACCCTGTCAATAATGAGATCCAGTCATTTTTAATATAAGATGGTTAGCTAGTATGAACAACCAATTGCAGTATCAAGTGAGGTCCAGACTAGTCCCAAAACTGGTGTACCAGTCTAGCCCCAAACTGAGCTATACCACCAGACTGGTCCCTGAAGTAAGGTATACCAGTAGAATGGCACCAGAACTGAGGTATACCAGCAGAATGGCACCAGAACTGAGGTATACCAGCAGAATGGCACCAGAACTGAGGTATACCAGCAGAATGGCACCAGAACTGAGGTATACCAGCAGAATGGCACCAGAACTGAGGTATACCATCACTATTACCAACACCAAACTAGCTGGTTAGTCAGTAAACTATTGTAGTGGGCTTAAAACCCTCCAGACGTCAACAGGCCTTAATTAAGCCAACCAAACCAATAACCTCACATAGGGATCCTACTCTCCACGGTTTCTCGCACCTTGATAATTACACCTCAGTTTAAGACCCACTTTCCCCGCTGATAACACCATTAATCAAGTGGACTGCAGCAGAGACCAGCAGGAAGCAGCCCTAATTGGCTGATCGTTCCCAGACGGAAATGACATGATTGTGTTACGTCACAAACGATGTTTTCGTCCTGAAAGAAGAATGTTTTGGGTGCAGAGCGGCGCTGGTGGTGGTAGTGAACACAAGGTGATGAGCAGAGGTGAGTTAGGGGAGGTATTTTTTATCGCTCTGTAGCATGTCTTTAACAATTAATCATATTAGGTTAACAATTTAGACGTACTCATTAGATAGGCAGTATAATGAGTCAATAGTCATTGTTGTGAAACGGTAGTCGGTGTATTGAAATTGGCAGTTTACTGACGCAGTAGGCTGTGTACTGAGGCAATGGACTGTGTACTGAGGCAGTAGGATGTGTACCTGAGGTAGAAGGCTGTGTACTGAGGCAATGGAATGTGTACTGAGGCAGTAGGATGTGTACCTGAGGTAGAAGGCTGTGTACTGAAGCAGTAGGCTATGTACTACCACAATCTCATGCATAGTGGGATTCGTTCACTTCTTTTCCTTCCATCTCCTCCTGTTACGAAAAAAGTGTTCTCATCTTTGATCCTCCGCGCTCTACGCATCAGCGACCCTCAGTTTCTTGATTCTGGAATTTCTTTTATTTACAAATCGTTTTTTCTCCTTGGTTACCCTTTTGCTACATAGCCATCCCGGCTTGGTGCCTTTGATAATAACTTACTTGGTTACCCTTTACATTTTATCAACTTCCTATTCTTAAGCTAAATGAAATTTCTTTCATCTCAAACCTGTTTCCAACGCTAGTACCACTGTTACACACAGAGATCACACTAACGTGATGCATCAAATGAACAAATCCACAAGGGCTGTGACGAGAATTCGAACCTGCGTCCGTAGCTCAGTCGATTAAGGCAGTGTCTGGGATGCTCCCGGACGCAGGTTTGAATCCTCGTCACGGCCCTTGTGGATTTGTTTTAGTACCACTGTGCTCTGCCTTCCCTTCATATCTGAACTTAAAAATTCACTAATACCCTTCGTCCTCTTGACATAAAGCTCGCCTTTCGACCAACTAACACACTTCGTAGTAATCTGGGTCACATTTCTCCTGCTTCTAATGCTGCTGGTGTCTACTCTCTTTCCTGTTCGCCTTGTCCTCTCCAATACTTTGGTGAAACTGGCCGTACACTAAATGACAGACTTAAGGAACACAAAAGAAGCGTCAAGTCTGCAGACACAAACAATGTTCTCTTCTGTCATGTTAGGGATTCTAATCGTCCTATAGATTGGTCTTCTAAAATACTTTCCTGCCTCTACACAGATGCCATCTTGTCGAATCGGTTCTGATACACAACATACCCAACATGAACCTCAGTCCTGGCTTTGTTGCTGTTAACTCTTTCCTTTCACAGTATATACTCAAATGCTCTAACTTTTCTAACAAACCTGACCTAACATAAGCTTACCCCATCCTTTTTCTTTCTCGCGTTTCTTTACGTTCCCATTCTTATACCCATTATTACCCCCTGCTTACACCCCTTTATTACACCCATCCCATCAGTAACCTTTCGTCTTGCTCTTACCTTCCTCTAGGAATTTCCTGCTTTTTCCTTGCGAATTTCCTAACGAATCTATAACAACATCTCGCTCCCATTACGGGCTATTCATGCCCGTGCCACCTCTTGGGTGGCTTAATTTTTATCAATCATCAATCTCGCTCTCATCACAATCGACTTGGCAATGCTCCAGGACGGATCGAAACGTCGTCGTCTCCTCATCTTCTGATGTGTGATCTGGTCATCATATCTTCAGCCAGGTTATTGTGACTCATTGTATGAATACGGGGGCAGTAGCTAGGCTGTGTACTGAAGCAGTAGGCTGTGTACCGAGGCAGTAGGCTGTGTACCGAAGCAGTAGGCTGTGTACTGAGGCAGTAGCTAGGCTGTGTATTGAGGCAGTAGCTAGGCTGTGTACTGAGGCAGTAGCTAGGCTGTGTACTGAGGCAGTAGCTAGGCTGTGTACTGAGGCAGTAGCTAGGCTGTGTACTAAGGCAGTAGGCTATGTACTGAGGCAGTAGACAACGACATACATTCACTATAACATGCACACGCACGTGATCCATGCACAATATATACACACTCGCCACAGTGGCACAGGCGTGCAAGATTTCCTCCATTGCCGAAATTAAATCTAAATTATTCAAAATATCAAAAGTTCTGTTTTTGTTAGTTTATTTTTGTATCAGCAGTGTCAATTGACTGTCACAGATTAAGAAAGTAATTAGAAACAGAGCAATGAAGGGGATGTACATTGACCACAACACAGCAGTTGCAACATCAGGATCTGCGGGTTGGTACAAGAATTCAACCAACTACGAACCACTTAGTTTGATGAAAGGGAGCAGTAGAGCAACATAAGTACACTTACATCGCATCAGGCTTGGATACCCATGTGCATGGGAAATAGGCTTACAAGTTGCACAAGTTCAGAGGAAATGTCAACACTGGAGAAATGCCCGACAGACCACTGGAACATTATCTAACACAGTGCACAGTTACAAACCCATTAAGATTTCAACTTAGATTCAACAGAGCAGAAGTTGTTAAACACATGGGACAAAATCTTACTGAAGCGACCATACGAGTCATAAATACTCATGCTCCGCCCAAGTAAAACAGAAACAAGCAACACTTAGTGGGCCAGCCAGAGGCTTAGGGCGCACGCAGGAATATCCCTGCAAAAAAAAAAAAAAAATTACTTTTATCGTTCTTTGGCCTGTGTGTTTGTGTTGTAAGACAACCGACGCTTGCCTGCTCACACACGGCCGCCTCCCTCCATGACATGCACGACAGAACACCGCATTTTCTATGTGTGCATCGGTAAGATCAGTTAGGTTTGTTAGGCTAGGTTAGGTTAGTTCAAATTCAAGTATGTTTATTGAGATAAGAAAGAAATACATCTCAAAGGGATAGAGTAGCTTAGGCTATTTCTACCCTCCAAAGGTTAGTTATGTTAGGTTAAATCTAAACTCACGTTGTATGAAATGACAAACCATCTTATTACTAAGGATAAAATACCAGAAATCTTTGGACTGTATCCAACACTAATAATAATAAACAGCAGCTCCCCTATGACTGTAATATCTCCATTGCTCAAACAATTATGTATTACCGATAAGACTTACCACTATAATGTATAATGATTTACTGTAAATGTATAGCTCTTGAAATATACTATTCTCTGTAACTAGCTGACATTGTAATTATAAGGTGTGAAGGATAGGTGAAATTGTTAATGTAATAATCTCCATTGAGGTCTGATAAAGACCTTTTGTGCCCTCTGTAATCCTTTTTGCGCTACCACTCGCTCACAGGACGAGTATGGGGTGCACAATAAACTAGCTGCCTTTGACAGCAACAATCAAAATAAAAATAACAGGTTAGACTAGGTTACGTCAGTTAGGTTAGTTAGGTTTGGTTAGGCTCAAGCGTTTTAGTACACAGTTTCTTGTCTATTGTGGCAACTCACATGTCGTCAATTTTGCGAGTTGCTAGGATTTATCGTACATCATATTTCGGCCGTAGGGGAATTTGACCGAAAAGGTAAGATTAATAATTTTAACACGAATCTTCTCAATATTTCTTATGTTTTTCTTCACTGTTTGGGGAAGTTGTAAAATTAACTATCCAAAGGTCATTTTAACACTTTTATTTGTGGTCTGACGTCTAAGGATTCTTTCCCAAAGATTAATTTACCATGCTGTTGTTGTTGTTGTTTTAGATTTAGCTACTCGGAACGAAATGTCCATGTAGCACGGACTATGGTGAGCCCATAATTGAGTTCGGTTATTCGCGATAACCTTGTTACTCTGTTATTTGGGTCAAAGTTTTAAATGGAGGTGGGGTTTTCTCCTTTTTCTCTATTTCTTGTTCGCTTCTGTTTTAGTCTTGTTTTAATAACATTATCTTGGTGGCGGATGTAGGTGCAGAATGTTCACTAGTGAGTCCCATTCCTCACCGGCTTTTCTAATCATTGTAGTGGCTGAGGAATGTGCATGTAATGCAGCTGCTGTCGTTGGATTAATGTTGAGTTTGATGCGCAGGGCTTCAGTAGCTTCACATTCCAGTAAGTAGTGCAATAGTGGCGCCTCTGCTTCTGTTCCACAGATATGACACTCTTTAACTATTGGGTTTATTACCTCCCAGCAGCACTTGTAACCAAGTCTGAGTCTGTGTATGGCTACTGCAATGTCTCTGGATATCTTTTTGTCAGGCTTGAAAGAGTAGTACCCAGTAGCTTGTTCGTACCATATCGCAGTGGATCTTCCTTCCGCTACTTTGACGCTGTGGCGACTTTTGATAGTTGGGAGTATTTATTCTTGATTTGCTCCTTAATCTGTGAAAAACTTGGTGGTATTTGAACCTGTACAACAGGTAGAGCAGTGGCAGTTTTTGCTAGTGAGTCTGCCTTTTGATTATCATCTATGCCAATGCGACTTGGTATCCAATTTAGGGTGATTGACAGCCATAGATTGTGTGCTTATTTTTCTATATGTAGGGTTTCTGTGAGGAGTTGTATATTATCTCTGTGCTGACGGGATGACTGGAGCGAAGATTTAGTCGGTATGAATGATGACATCGTGTAAATTATTCTCCATTGCATAATTTAGGGCCTCTTTCATGACATATAATTCTGTTTGCAATGGTGAGTACCCAATATTCATCGTTGTTAGTGTAAACTGCTGCCCCAGCAGAATCTCTTTCTGTTATACTTATTATTTACACACACTTATACCCATTTATAAGTGTGGGTATACCCTACTCTACAAGTCATCTAGCCCCCTTAATCGTAGGGAGCGGCGAAGGATAAGGTGAGGTGATTGTTGCCCGACTCCGGCTTCTAACTGTCCGCCAGGTCTTACATCTTCCCTCTGGGATCAATGGAGGACCATCAAACAGGTGTATGCTAGAAGTAAATTCATCTGGATGTTGATTACTGGTGTCAGCTCCCGAATGAACACAGCCTCAAGCCACCAAAGCCTCATACGGTCGTCGGCGCGTCTGATTACTGTCGTATCTTTACACTATGTCAGTGACACAGTGATACGACAGTAATCACATACCCCGACGATCGTAGGAGAATTCGTGTGCTTGAGAATGTGTTCAGTCTCCTTAATACATCATCCTTCTGAAGATGTATAATTAAATCCGTAAGTACTTAATTATATTCCTGTCTTAATCGTTCCATCGTGGTCTGACACATTGTTCATCACGAGTTAATTTATTCGTAATTTACACACACATAAGAAAATACAAATAATTCAAATTTCATGCCAGAATGCTGTAGTGAAATTCGTTAAGGGGTGGGGAGGGGGTAGCTATATATCAATACGGGCTCACCATAGCCCGTGCTACTTGTAACTTTTTGTTCCAAGTAGCAAATCTTAAACAACAACAACAACATACACATGGTTGATGTGAGATTCGCTACCATCAACCACACACATGGTTGATGCAAGACCCCACTACCATCAACCACTTCTGTGTGCCATCAACCAGATTTTCTAGGGTGCTAGCGAGCAAACGCAAGGCATGCAGACCTTGTGACATTATCTATGCAAATTAGCAAATAAAATACGAGACAAGAATTGGATACCAATGGTTGAACAGCTGGTGGGCGGACGGAGTGGGTTGGGTGGAGTGGGTTGGGTGGAGTGGGTTGGGTGAGATGGGTTGGGTGGGGTAGTGGGGCGTAGATTTTTGTTTACAAATTATTTTCTACCACAGACGTGGCCAGACATTTATAATGCTAACCAGAATATGTAAATTTTCTTCTGTCCTCCAAGGACAGGGTGAGAGATGTGGTAAACATGTTCAGAGATTTATTGAACAATCAACCACAGAAGGTTATTGTAGTGCTTTTAAAATGCTAATCTAACCTACATACATAAATGCTTAGCTACACATATTTAATGTATAATTGATACATTACATGGTCAGTCTTGTGTACAAGTCCAATATATCATCAAGTGTTCCAGTATTCATATAGTAGTTACAGAGTTCAGCATACCTCAGCCCAGGAGGGCGAAAGTCAGTCAATATGGGACATTTTACAATATAATGTTCAAGGGAGTGAACATGTTTTCCCTTTCACAAAGTTGTATTTCACATCGTGTATTGAACACTTTCACAAAGTTGACACATGGTGTACTCGACATTTGGGGTTCGAGAAAGCTCAATACGTCAGAATCCCAGACGTATTCTGGCCACTATTACATCCCACTGCCGAATTCTCGCTCTATCAGTCCCATATGCGAATATCTCCTCACGATATATATCACACTATTTAATGCTACAACTTTAGAGTGGCGAAGGCGTGGGGTGGAGAGAGGGGGGGCGCTAGGTGGGTGGATGGGGTGGGGGTGTGGGGAGCAGGAGGTGGGGGGTAATGGTGGGTGGAGAGGCTGTGAGGAGCACATGATATTCAACCACTATTGAGTGCTGTGACAACATGCCACAACTTAGACAAATAATGTACGCTGGTGGAGCCAGCTGGTGACACAGCCGGCCTCCCTGGCTCCTTGAGGTACGATGACACCAGCCTCTGTCTATACTATATGCTTCCTATATGCTTCTAACTGTTTTCTTACTCTTGGGAATAAGTATAGAAATCTAGTTACTAAAATTCATTGTCAAAGAAACTCTAATATTGAAGGGTATATTTTCTACAACGTTTCGTTCCGGTGTGGAACTTCTTTAGGTAAGGAGTGAAGATAGAGAAGCGTCCGTCACTCTACAGTGATGACAGCTGCCTGAATGTCCCCGTCACTCTACAGTGATGACAGCTGCCTGAATGTCCCCGTCACTCTACAGTGATGACAGCTGCCTGAATGTCCCCGTCACTCTACAGTGATGACAGCTGCCTGAATGTCTCCGTCACTCTACAGTGATGACAGCTGCCTGAATGTCTCCGTCACTCTACAGTGATGACAGCTGCCTGAATGTCCCCGTCACTCTACAGTGATGACAGCTGCCTGAATGTCCCCGTCACTCTACAGTGATGACAGCTGCCTGAATGTCCCCGTCACTCTACAGTGATGACAGCTGCCTGAATGTCCCTGTCACTCTACAGTGATGACAGCTGCCTGAATGTCTCCGTCACTCTACAGTGATGACAGCTGCCTGAATGTCTCCGTCACTCTACAGTGATGACAGCTGCCTGAATGTCCCCGTCACTCTACAGTGATGACAGCTGCCTGAATGTCCCCGTCACTCTACAGTGATGACAGCTGCCTGAATGTCCCCGTCACTCTACAGTGATGACAGCTGCCTGAATGTCCCCGTCACTCTACAGTGATGACAGCTGCCTGAATGTCCCCGTCACTCTACAGTGATGACAGCTGCCTGAATGTCCCTGTCACTCTACAGTGATGACAGCTGCCTGAATGTCTCCGTCACTCTACAGTGATGACAGCTGCCTGAATGTCTCCGTCACTCTACAGTGATGACAGCTGCCTGAATGTCCCCGTCACTCTACAGTGATGACAGCTGCCTGAATGTCCCCGTCACTCTACAGTGATGACAGCTGCCTGAATGTCCCCGTCACTCTACAGTGATGACAGCTGCTTGAATGTCCCCGTCACTCTACAGTGATGACAGCTGCCTGAATGTCCCCGTCACTCTACAGTGATGACAGCTGCCTGAAGGTCCAACCGTCACTCTACAGTGATGACAGCTGCCTGAAGGTCTCCGTCACTCTACAGTGAGTGACAGGTTGGGGGGGGGGGTTACTGCTCGTGCCAAGCGACTGCTCAACTGGTTTACTGAAGGCGGATCTCTCTCTGCAACTCTTGTGCAACAGCTTGCAATCCACACAGGTTGAAAGTTTATCATGTAGGAAGACAAGGTGTGAATTATGAGGTATTATGACGATATTTATATAATGTTTGATCTTCCTGAGGGGTATACCAGCACCCTGGGGCTTAGGGAGGGTTTTTGCCCTTGGGGCACGGGGTGGTAGACCCCTCTGGGCAGGTGGGGGTTATCTCCCGGGGCTGGCGGGCAGCTGGTCGCCGGGGGTAGAAGCCCCCCACAGGGGCGGAGGCATCAACCAGCTGGTGGATGGTTGGGTGGTGGTCGGGGGTGAGGGTGTAGGAGAAGCGAGGCGCCAGTGTCACGCTGTAACTGGTGCGGTGAGGGCGCGTCGCCCTATTCTCTGTGACCAGCCACACGCTACCGTCCCCTACAACACGCTACCCGGAACACCCTCGCTACGATACCCACGCTGGGATGTCCGGTACCACCCTATTAGTGCACCGTTTGCTGCCAATAATCACCTACGCTAGAACATGCAGTTCCTAAACCCAAATTTGTAACAGGCAATTCGAATTTCGCCCACCCCCCAAGAAATCCACCTGTGAATGTGGTTGAGTGTAGCACACTGAGTAATGAGTGTGTTAGAGTGACATGTCCTCACGCCGCTAGACCCACGAGACAGGATTATGGTGAGTAGCTTAAAACCTGTCCAGTTGAAGTCTCTGTGTGTGGTGTGGCTGCGAAGGCCAGCTTCCTCACACAATTCTTGTACACTATTGGAGGATAATATTGGTGTAGTTACTCTAAGACTCCAATTGCCTTATCCAGTGGTCCGATTTATGTTTTAATAATGTTTACGCTATTGGGATTGAGTCGTGAATTGAAAGATCTCCGTTTAGAGACTTACTCCGGGTTAGAAGTTTGCCTTCGTAGAGCTTTTTTTGTCCAGTATTAACACAGCCTTGGCGCAGACTGGTAGACAGGCTGTTCCAGATAGTGAGGGGCTGGTAGGGTCATGAACTACGGCTGGGATTATAGTGAATGTTTTGACCGTTTGAATAGTCCACTGGTCCATTGCTACAGTGAGTACGGTGGTCTCATCGTAGTCGCCAGAATGTGGAATAATTTCACAGTATGGAATACTTCACTCAACACAGTCGGACATTTCATGGTAACTAGAGCCGTCAGCGCTGAGGGTACTGTGTACACTGAAGGGTACTGTGTACGCTGAGGGGTACTGTGTACGCTGAGGGGTACTGTGTACACTGAGGGGTACTGTGTGCACTGAGGGGTACTGTGTACACTGAGGGGTACTGTGTACACTGAGGGGTACTGTGTACACTGAGGGGTACTGTGTACACTGAGGGGTACTGTGTACACTGAGGGGTACTGTGTGCGCACTGAGGGGTACTGTGTGCGCACTGAGGGGTACTGTGTACGCACTGAGGGGTACTGTGTGCACTGAGGGGTACCGTGTGCACTGACGGTACTGTGTACACTGACACTAGCACAGTGAGTTTCCGCAACTCCTACTTTTACTTAGCAGGTTGACAACCATTTTCACTCAACACATTCAATACTGTGAGTATTCTTGACAACATATATCACCATATCAACATATTTTACATCCTGATGTGAAATATTAATATTTTCCTAACTCAGAAAATAGTCTTAGGTCTTACAGGTTATTTCAAGTAAAGTTTGGTTATGTAGGACGAGGCTAGCACCGGCTTGAAATTGAAACACTTCCTAGCCTCTCCATAATTTATTTCTCTCCACGAACACAAATTTTTGAACCGTCTCCATTTGGTAATTTGTATTTAATTATACCATTATAATTTTTGACATAATTTGGTATTTTATTTTAGATTTTATAGTTTTTCTATGGGGGTACAGTAGCCTACAGTTATGTCCCAGAGATACAGTAGCCTACAGTTACTGTAGGAAGTTAGAAAGAGGGTACAGTTATATCCCTGAGATACAGTAGCCTACAGTTAAATCCCTGGGGTACAGTAGCCTACAGTTAAATCCCTGGGGTACAGTAGCCTACAGTTAAATCCCTGGGGTACAGTAGCCTACAGTTAAATCCCTGGGGTACAGTAGCCTACAGTTAAATCCCTGGGGTACAGTAGCCTACAGTTAAATCCCTGGGGTACAGTAGCCTACAGTTAAATCCCTGGGGTACAGTAAGTAATTATTAACCAAACCGGGAAGGCTATGTAGCACCATCAAATGTGCGGAATAATCAGAGGGCGCTTAATATCACCAAGGATGCTAATACGAGAACGGAACGCATAAGGCGAACGATATCAAAAGTATCCGATTCACCAAGAATTCTATTGAGGGACAGGTGACCGCGAGGGACGGTCGGAAAACAAGACACACGCTCGTCCTGGAAGTCAGGACATTCACAACAAGGATATGCACGACCGTAAGAGGGACAATGCAATTTGGACAAGGAGCAGGGCGGCGCTCCATTAAGTGACCGTGAGTTAAGCGTGTATGGCCAATACGCAACCTCGTCAGAGCCGTTTCCCATCGCCGGTTATGGTGGTAGGAGGACGGCCGTGAGGACACACCCCCTTAAGAGTACGCAGTTTGTTACCAGTAACAGAAGACCAACAACTCTGAAAGCGGGCAAGGACGGAGGCATGAATAACTGGGTAAAAGTCGGACTAAGGAATACCTTTACGGGAGATGGGACGAGTGCGGACAGCTTCCCTAGCGGCAGCATCCGCACGTTCATTTAAAGAAACACCAATATGGCTGGGAACCCAGCAAAACTCAATTTACTTATATTTACTGGGAATAAGAAACAGCCAATGTTGAAGCTCGACAACCACTGGATGGACCGGATTAAAGGACCCGAGAGCTATGAGGACACTACGAGAGTCAGCAACTACAAAGGAAGATTGACAACGAGAAAGCAGGAGACGAAGAGCATAGAGAATAGTATAAAGTTCCGCTGTGAAGATGCTAGTCTCCGGAGGCAGGCGATACATATAAGTCGGTCAGGAAACACAACAGAGTAGCCTAACCCATCCGCAGACTTAGACCCATCGGTGAAGATGGAAACGGAGCGAGAGTGTGAAAAGTGCTCAAGGAAAAGGCGTTTCAGAACCGTAGGAGGGGTAAAAGCTTTAGTGATGCGGGTCAAGGATGTACAAAACTGCGGAAGGGGGACTCTCCACGGGGTCAAGGAAGGAACGACACGAGGAGAAATATTAGAAATACGAACTGAAAGAGAATCCTGTAAGCGAGATAACCGGATAGAAAGAGGGAGATGGTGAAGAGAAACAGGAACCACAGGAGGTTATCTTGAGGTTATCTTGAGATGATTTCGGGGCTTTAGTGTCCCCGTGGCCCGGTCCTCGACCAGGCCTCCACCCCCAGGAAGCAGCCCGTGACAGCTGACTAACACCCAGGTACCTATTTTATTGCTAGGTAACAGGGGCATAGGGTGAAAGAAACTCTGCCCATTGTTTCTCGCCGGCGCCTGGGATCGAACCCAGGACCACAGGATCACAAGTCCTGCGTGCTGTCCGCTCGGCCGACCGGCTCCCTAAAAGGTAAAAGGTAAAGGAGGGGTAAAAGTTTAAGCACGACAGAGGCGAGAGGAAGGATGTTGCAAGGACCGCGCAAGATAGTGAAGACAGTAGCGATCAGTGACGGTGTCCCACCCTCATATCTTTCCCATCTCAGCTTCAAGAGTCATATCTCTGCAACCTGAACGTTCTCTGATGTTCAGGGAACATTTTGATATATATGAGGGTATGGAACGTTATCGTATTGGCAATGAATTTGCCGTTTTAGTTTGGTTATACAAGTGGCTTACGCCCTTTTGAGTTACAAGATGGCGCCGAGGCGCTCTGCTTCCCGCCAAAGGAGCATGATGCCTGCCGGCTGTTGATTGGCCAGGTAGGGTCACGTGACATCATGGACCAATGGGGAGGAGCCCTTGGGCGGTGTGACGTCACGAGACGGCGGGCTCCGGGCGCCCCTGCGGGCTCAGTACGTCACAGCCCGTCATAGAGAGTGGCCGCGCTCGAGTGAGCTCCCGATTTAGAGGCTAGGAAGCCCCAACCAGTGGACCCAAGTAGCCACATTGATACTGGAAACATCGTGGGAGGTCATCCGACTCCCGTAGAGTACATGGAAGCAAGTGTTAGAGTTAGGCTGGTGTTAGAGCGCAAAGAGCTCTTTTACTAATAGTCTGTGGCAAAGACGAACGTTGTGCTGGGACGCCCAGCGGGCCGCGTTTAAACGCATCAGGCGAGCTGCTGTGCCTTCATGGTGTCAAGTCCACTGGCAGACCGGGGAGGGGACACTGAACCAGTGTTGTCTACAGTGCCAGAGTGGGAGGAAGGCAGCGACATGCTCAGGGACCCGTCTCCAGTACCTCGAGAGGAAGAGGAGGAGGACCTGCCTGCAGAGTGTGAGAACGGCGAGGACGCGAGCATCTACCAGTCGACTGAGGACCTTGTGTGTACAGGACCCTGATCAACGGAGGACCAAACACCAGGCGCCAGATTCACAAAGCACTTACGCAAACACTTACGAACCTGTACATCTTTTCTCAATCTTTGGCGGCTTTGTTTATAATTATTAAACAGTTAATGAGCTCGGAAGCACCAGGAGGCTGTTTATAACAATAACAGTTGAATGGGAAGTTTTCATGCTTGTAAACTGCTTAATATATGTAACCAAAGCCGTCAAAGATTGAGGAAAGATGTACACGTTCGTAAGTGCTTTCGTGAATCTGGCCCCAGGACCAGGGACCTCAGCAACCCTCGCCAGAGAATAGGTCGGCTTCGTAGCAGAAAGAATTAAGGTAGATAAATTCCCCCCATTACCCCTTGAGCTAGGATATCTTTCATATCGTGAACATTGCCTTTATTATTACTACCAATGTGGTAGAGAGTTAGGCTAGGAGCCAGGTTACTCATGTAGGCATGAGTTAATGTATAAATATATATGTGGTTGCAGTTATAACCCTGAGGTACAGTAGCCTACAGTTATATCCCTGAGGTATAGTTACATTTCACATTATAAATAAGAAAAAATATAATAACTTGAAATATTCGAGTGAAATGTTTAACCTACTAATAATTGCTACGTCATCAGGGCTAGTTGGTAGTGAATGAATGCATCGTTTGAATACATGTATGAGAGTGAATAAATACATCGTCAGTGCTAGATGGTAGAGTGAATTGATGCATCGTTTAACCCAAGAGTAGCCTAACCAAGTAATTGAGTATTAACAATAACTAAGATAAAAATTTCTTGGGCAAATTCTCGTATGTTGCCTAGGTTGTGTATACTGACGAACCATATATATATATATATATATATATATATATATATATATATATATATATATATATATATATATATATATATATATATATATATATATATATATATATGTCCATTGGTCCATATTTCTTGATGCATCAAGAAATATGGACCAATAGGCTTTCTACAAACACTTCTATTCAATACCCATTGTTTCGTGTTCTGTCTTGTGTTGATGAAATTAATACCCTATTAATGCCACCTCTTGTTCTGTCTTGTGTTGATGAAATTAATACCCTATTAATGCCACCTCTTGTTCTGTCTTGTGTTGATGAAATTAATACCCTATTAATGCCACCTCTTGTTCTGTCTTGTGTTGATGAAATTAATACCA